GGCTGTTCAAACCCACCAGCCACTCCTTGGAAGGAAGGTTGGGCAATCTACTTCCATAGTGATACTGCCTTGGAAACCCAAGGAGGGGTAGCTATCATTTGGGTCAGACTTGATGGCACATAACAACAACAACAACATTAAAAATTTTAAGTAATAAGCATAAAAATTAAACACTAATTACGATTGATTGTTTCCCCAGAAAAGATGGAATTTAACTCACAATACAGCCTTCTATAAAATATTAGGAAGTGTCATGACTGTTTAATGTAACTTTGCTCCTGTTACGTAATTAACAAAAGTTTGATGTTTTAGACTTATGGTATCCCTGCAAGTAATTGTTCTTTTTCTTATTAGTCAAGTCCCTTAATACCTATATGAAACTAAATCTCCCCATGTGCCTCCCTTAATGCTGCTGTGGGGAGATTAAACCTCAAATTCATATGGAAATTTATCTAAAACACTCCAGAACAACTACTTTTGCCCATTTTCACCTACTATAAGTACTTTCTCTCGGAAGGAAGATGGGGCAATCTACTTCCGTAGTGATACTGCCTCGGAAACCCAGGGAGGCGTCCCTATGAGTCGGGTCTGACTCGATGGCAAATAACAACAATAACAACAACATAAGTACTTTCTATACCATTACTATGTTTTATTTTTCTTCACAGTATTTATCACTTTTTGACATCATAAAAACCAAAAAGACCAAAGTCACTGCTGTCGAATCGTTTCCAACTCATAGTGACCCCTCCTTGGGTTTCTGAGGTGGTATCTCTATGGAAGTAGATTGCCCAGTCTTCCTCCTGAGGAGTGGCTGGTGGGTTTGAACCACCAGCCTTCTGGTTAGCAGTCAAATGCCTTAGGTACTATGCCACCAGAGCTCATACAATGTATTTATTCATTCATGTATAAATTCCATGAGGGCTGGGACATTGACTGTTTTACATACCACTTTATCCCCAACTCTTAGAATTAATATTTGTTAAATGCCTAAACGTAAGCATTTAACAAATATTAGTTGACTGAAAGAAGAATGAGTGAATGACTAGTATTAATTCTAAGTGAATTTTCAGAAATAGACTGTAGTGGCTTAAAGAAATACATAATGCACAGAATAAAATTAAATGAGCAAACTAGGATAATTGAAAAATAAGAATAGGAAAAAAATTGTTACGGTTGTTGTTGTTGTTGTTATGTGCCATCAAGTCAGACTTGACTCACAGTGACCCCTCCTTGGATTTCAGAGGCACTATCACTATGGAAGTAGATTGCCCCATCTTCCTTCCGAGGAGTGGCTGGTGGGTTTGAACTGCCAGCCTTCTGGTCACAAAAATCTGTAATGTAAAATTCCACAAATATATAAAATATTTGGGTGAAACCTTTGGGTGTGCCTAAAGAAAGCAGAGGAAGGTAGTCCAGTGAAAAATGAATGAAAATGTCCTGGCTGTGAAGGGAAGCCACGCTGTTTTGGTGCTTAGCAGTTGTTTCTCCTTGGGTCATACTGAAGGACACTGTGTCATGTCCAGGCGAGACGGGAGGGCTCAGTTCGTGTGCTTTGTGCAGTGTGCTATGATTGTATGCTGACTATTTCAGAAATCTCCCTGCTTTTTCCAAACTTGCTTTTCAAAGAGTTTCTTCCCCTTTTCTTTTCTTTTCGAGTACAGCTAAGCTGATCAAAATGTTTGAAAAAAGATGTGTCTGAATTTCTTCATAGCCCTCTTTCTGTTTCAGTTCAGTTTTCATTATGTAACATTAGCTTCTTGAAGCCAAAAAATAATTTCTCTCTTAATATCTGGCCTATGGTTTTCAAGTTGTTTACTCACTATGCATGTGTATATTTTAGCAAAATTGATTTTATTACAAATTAAGTCAGTATTAAAGGATCTAGACCAGAACTTATCATTTTTGTTTCTCAGATATGTATTGAGTCAAGCGTTTATCTTGAAAGTGTCATTGATGCATTCATTGTTTTATGTTTTTTGCCCTACTGGCCTTCTACTTCCAACTGCTTTCTTTCCAAAACTTTGGGATTTACTGTGATACAGTTGAAAGAATGTTGAAACATTATAACAAAAGACATCTTTTGCCTGTTTTAATCTCATATTTACAAATATAATTTCTAGTTAGGAAAGTATCCATTTCTGCTTCTCTCACTTTTTTATTTGGAGCATTTTTTAGTTGTCAAGATGTTGAAAGAATTTTATGATGAGTATCTTTATGCCCTTAACCTAGTATCACTAGTTATTACATTTTTCTGTTTGCATTCTCTCTGTGCATTCTCATGTGCTTGTGCGCAGGTATGCACACACACGCACACGCACACGCACACTATCTCAATTTTTTGTTAAACAGTGTGAAATGAAGAAGTTATGACACTTCACCCTGAGTGTTTTTGCGTATATATTCTAAGAACAGGGGCATTCTGCGTAGCCACGATACCTCATCACATCCAGTAAATTTAACATTGATATAATAATATGGTGTGTATTAGTTGCCTTTATATAACAAACTGTCTCAATAGTTTATGGCTTAAAATAGCAATGGTGTGTTTTGTTTAATGATTGTGAGTGGTGGCTGGGAGGGTCTTGGCTGGTCTTCACAGCACTCAGTGGGTGGGAAGACTAGGCCTGGGCTCACGTGGGATTTGAAAGATTCCTTCTTAAATGTGGACTCACTTTTTATTATTGATTCCTTTTGTGATAATCTGATTCTTCAGAAGCCCTATGAGAGTATTTGAGAGCTCTGATAGTGTAGTGCCCAAGGCATTTGACTGCTAACCAGAAGGCTAGAGGTTCAAACCCACCAGCCAGTCCTTGGAAGGGAGGCTGAGCAATCTACTTCCATAATGATACCACCTCGGAAACCCAAGGAGTGGTCGCTAAGAGTCGGATCCTACTCTGCGGAAGTGAGTTTGGTTTTTTTGTTTTTCGATGAGAGTATTTAATCATAGCCTGTGTTAACTATCCATCTCAATCTCTTTTAGGAATATCATAATGCATGAAGGTAGCTGGGGGGTCTCTCATACACACGTGCCAACGGAATCTCGGCCAGGACATGTAGCCCTGATTGCTGGATTTTATGAGGATGTCAGTGCTGTTGCCAAAGGTATCGTCTATTTATACAAGTATATTAAGTGGAAAATTTAACACTGAATCATGTCACAAAGTTAAAAGGGTTCTTTGAAATACTATTTTAATTTTTTTGTTAACTTTTTATTGTGATTTGGGTGAAATTTACAGAGCAAATTAGTTTTTCATTTATCACTTCATACACATTTTGTTTCATGACATAGACTGTGATCCACACAGTTTGGCAGCACTCTTTCCACTTCCTCTCTGTGTTTTCCCATCTGTCTTTCCTTCTTATCATTTCCTGCCTTGTGAAGTTTGTCTCTGGGCAAATCCTACTCTTTTGACCTTATATGTTTGATTGTTCTAAGGAATGTATACTTCCCTGGTTTCATTGTTCACCTTATATAGGTGTCTATTCTTTGACTGATGGTAGAGCCACAGGAGTGAGTTCATTTCTAGGCTTGAAGGGTGATAAGGACTATAGTCTCAGGAGTTCTACCAGTCTCTTTCAGACTGGTAAGCCTGGTCTTTTTTTATGATTTTGAGTTTTCTTCCTTATTTTTCTCCCACTGCATCTGGGACGTCCTGGTATGATCCCTTTCAAAGTGGTTGGCTGTGGTACCTGAGCACCATCTAGTTCTTCTGGTCTCAGGATCATGGGTGCTGGGGATCGTGTGGTCCATTAGTCTTTTGTTCTACTTATTTCTTTGTGTATTTGATTTTCTTTACTCTTCTTTGTTCCAGAGGGGGAGAGATCAGTAGCTTCATTTTAAGTGGAGGCTCACCAGCTATTAAGACTCCAGTTACTACTCACCAAAGTAGGATGTAGAGCATTGTCTTTGTGGACTATATTATGCTAGTTGACCTTGATGTCCCTAGAATATATGGTCCTGAGCCACTAGGTCCATAGACCCTTTCCCTCAAGGTGTTTGGTTATGGCTAAGAAGTTTCCATAACTTTGCCCCCTGTGTTCTCTATTGTATGTATGGCTATATTTGCAGCATGTATAAATACATATGTTGAAATATTCTCTGTCAAACACATGTATATATTGTGGTAAACTGTGGTCAATGACATGAGACAAAGTATATGTGAACTGCTGTATGGAAAGTGAATGTGCTCTGTAAATCTTCACCCAAATAAAAATTTAAAAATAAATAAATAAATAATAAAAAAACCACATGTATATATTTGTGGTATAGTCCCTTTCACCTCCCAACATCTGTTCAGTTATGTGTCTATTATGTGTCCACTTGTAGATTATTATTATATTGTTTGTGGTAGTTAAGGTTGTGTGTCAACTTGGCTGGGCCTGATTGAGTGGCTGGGCAGCTAGATGTAGTTATTCCCCATGGTGAGACTGGTCATCAACTCCATGGTGGAATCTACTGGAGCAGCTGAGTAATGTGATTTGCTTCCAATATATAAGGAGAAGTTTTGAGAAAGTTCGCAGCTTTTGGCACGCTTGAATCCTGCATGTACCTGAGTTATTGTTCAACAGCCTGCCAGACATGTTGTCTGCTGATCTTGGGATTCTTAATGTACTTGAATCAGTGGCCTTCTGTGTGGTTTGGTAGTATTGGGACTGTGCCTTTTTACTTGTCGACCTAGGGTTTGTCAGCCTCAGCAGCCAGCAGCTGCCTGAGTAAAGAAAGCTTCCAGCTTCAGTGGGCTGGGAGCAAGAGGCAGAGCTGAAGCCCAAGGTTGAGGCGCTTTCACCCAGCCCCTAGAGCTCCATATTCTGAACTCGGACTTCTAGCTTCCAGAACCTTAAGAGAATAAACTCCTGTTTGTTAAAGCCACTCATTTGTGGTATTTCTGTTATAGCAGCACTACAAGACCAAAACCCTGTTAGTGCAGGCTTGTGTATGTGGTAGTATTTACCTCTGTTCCTTTAACTCTTTGCTCCTCCCACAGTCTTCCTTTGCCTTGATAATTTTGTGCTGACCTCCCCCTTATTGCATATTGCCTTCCCCTTCACCCAAGTTACTATGCATCCACCCTGTTCTGAATGATTTATTCTCCCGTCCCCTCCTACCCCTGGTAGCTGTCAAAGAATGTTTCTTTCTGTGTGAAAACTTTTTCTTGACTTTTTGTACTAGTAGTCTCATACACTATTTGTTCTTTAGTGATTGGCTACTTTCATTCAGCATAATATCCTCCAGGTTCATCCATGTTATGATGTGTTTCACAGATTCATCATCATTCTTTAACATGTAGTATTCCATTGTATGTATGTACCATAGTTTGTTTATCCATTTATCTGTTGTTGGGCACTTAGGTTGTTTCCATATAGTGCTATGAGAGACAAACATGGGTGTGCGTATATCTATTTGTGTCATGACTCTTATTTCCATAGGGTATATATCTGTGTTGTTGTTGTTGTTATGTGCCAGTGAGTCAGCCCCAACTCATAGTGACCCCTCCTTGGGTTTCCGAGGCAGTATCACTATGGAAGTAGATTGCCCAACCTTCCTTCCGAGGAGTGGCTGGTGGGTTTGAACCACCAGCCTTCTGGTTAGCAGTCAAGTGCCTTAGGCACTATGCTACCAGAGCTCCTTCCTTGAAAGTAGTATGTTAAAATGTCCTACTATTATTGTGGAGTTATCTATTTTGCTTACCACTTTTGTTAAAGTTTGCTTTATGTATTTTGGAGCCCTTTCTTTGGGTGGTTAGATATTAGTTATGGTTATGTCCTTTTTTTGGATTGTGGTTTTAATCATTGTGTAATGACCTTCCTTGTGTCTTACTCTGGCTTTTGCCTTGAAGTATATTTTATCAGAAATAAATATTGACATTTGTACTTTTTCTTTGGTTGCCATTTGCATGATAAATGTTTTTCCATCCTTTGATGTTTAGCTTATTTTAGTCTTTGTGTCTAAGATATGTACACAGAATATTAATAGATCATGTTTTCTTATCTATTCTGCTATTCTCTGTCTCTTGACTGTGCATTTAATCCATTTACATTCAGTGTAATTATTGGTAGGTATGAATTTATTGCTGTCATTTTACTGTGACTTGTGTGTATATGTGTGTGTGTATGTGTGTGTGGTATTGTTGGTTTCTTTGTTCCATATATTTTTCTGTACTGAGTTCATTTTGTTTACATATTTTCTTCTCATTTACCTTGTTGATGTTATTCTAGTGTTTACTGAAGTTTTATGAATTTCTTCTTTTTATTTTGGTGAAGTTTATTAATTTTCTTTGAAGTTATTGTGTTATTTGTTATTACCTTCCTAAGTTTAAAACATTCTCTACTATCTTGATACCGTCTCAACTTCTCTCCATTTCCCAGAAGAACTAGATGGTGCCTGGCTACCACTGTCAACCACTTGGAAGGGGATCTATGTAGCAGATCCTGTATAGAGAGGAGAACAATGTGGAACAAAACTCAAAATCATTTGGAGGAAAAAAAAGGGGGGGGGGGCGACCAGGTTTGCTGGTCTGATAGAGCCTGGTGGAACCACTGAGACTATGGCCCCTAGCTGCCCTTCAGGTCTGGAATTGAACCCACATCTGTGGCTTCCAGCCAAACAAAAGACAGGCATATGAGTTGAACATTTACCTGAGGTAGACACACTCCTTGGAGAGAACAATCATGGGAGAAAGAAGGGCTGCTTATGCACAGGGAGACAGCTCAGGGGGCAGGAGTGCATGGAGGGATGGATACAGGGAAGAGGTAACTATGGGGAGGAAGTGGGAGGGGAGCTGTTGCATTGTGGTAAATTGTGGTCAGTGTCATGAGACAAAGCGTATGTGAACTGCTGTATGGAAAGTGAATTTGCTCTGTAAACTTTCACTCAAATCACAATAAAAAAAATAAAAAGAAAAACTGTCCATTTGGAAATTCTGTAATGACACCGTTTTTAATGGGGTGGGGGAGTTGTCATATCTTAGAAATTGGTATCTTTGGTTCTCTTTTTGTAGTCTTACAGGTTTGTTTTATTTTGGACACTTCTATCCCTGGATTGTCCTATGTCTGGATCTCAGGTGGTTGTCTGCCATTGTTGGTTCTCTGTCTGTGGGCTCCCTTAAGCATTTCTCGTAAGATTGGTCTGGTTTTTGTAAATTCCCTTAATTTCTGTTTTTATGGGAATGTCCCAATTTCACAGTTTTATTTGAGGGACAATTTTGCCTAATATATAGTTCTTTGTTGGCAATTTTTTTCCTTCAAGGTTTTACATATTTCATCCCACTGCCTTCTTTACATGGTATCTGCTGAGGAATCAGAGCTTCGCCTTATTGGTTTTCCTTTGTAGGTAACTTGTCATTTTTCCCAAGCTGTTTTCAGGACTCTTTCTTTGTTTTTGGTTTTGGAAAGTTTGATAAGGATATGGCTTGGTGATTTTCTTTTGGGGTCTATCCTGTTTGGGGTTTGTTGCTCTTCTTGAATGCATATGTACTCATCTTTCATGATATTAAGGACATTTTCTTCCAACAAATCTTCAACAATTTTCTTGGTGCCTTTTTTTTTTTTTTTTTTTGGCTTCTTTCTGTTGTGGAAATCCAATAATGTGTAAGTTATTCTTTTTTTTTTTTTTTTTTTGGCTTCTTTCTGTTGTGGAAATCCAATAATGTGTAAGTTATTCCTCTTCATGGTGTCTCACATAATGGTTTTGTTGTTGTTGTTATGTGCTGTTGAGTCGGACCCAACTCATAGTGACCCCTCCTTGGGTTTCTGAGGCAGTATCACCATGGAAGTAGATTGCTTCATCTTCTTTCCGAGGAGTGGCTGGTGGGTTTGAACGGCCAGCCTTCTGGTTAGCAGTCAAGTGCCTTAGGCACTATGCTACCAGAGCTCCCACATAATGATTAGCCTTTCTTAATTTTTAAATTTCTGTACTTTTTTTTTTGGATTGTTCCTTTAACAAATTAGTATTAGGAGATTTGTCTTCAGTTTCAGTAATTCAGGTTGTTCAATTCTACTCCTTTGCTCTTCTAATGCATTATCTTTTTCTAAAATTTTAATATTAATCTTCTGGATTTGTATTTACTGTTTTTATATGGTTTCTAGTTTTCCATTCATTTTTTTCAATTTGTTCTTGTATTATTTTCCTGAAATTTTCTAGAGTTTTTTTTCTAGAGTGTTTTTACTTTTTCTAGAGTGTTTTACTTGATGTCTTTCTTTATCTTTGAATAATCTTAAATTTAATTCTTTTGAATTCCTTATTGGATACTTCTGTTACACTTTCTTTCCTCAGGAAAGGAAAGGGTGGAAGGAGCAGCATGGTGGTACGTTCTGGCAGCTGCTGGGCTTGATGTCCAGTCCTTGATGGCATACTGTGCCGACTGCAACGGTGGAAAGGGTAGGGCGTGTGTTCTGTGGTGGTGTTTGCTGCCAGCTGGGGAGGTAGTGGGCTTGTGGCACAGGATGTTTGTATGCACATGCTGCTGAATGTGTAGGCAATGAGGGTTCAACGCCTGATTTGTGGGACTCTGCACCTCCAAATGCATGGATGTGTGGATGTAGGGCCTGATCCATGATAGCGTGGTTCGCCTACTGCAGACTCAGTGGGCTTGCTTCTGTGTTCAGAAACAGCCCACCTCCAGCCTCTGGGGGATCAGAGCAGAGGGGGCCATGGTTCGTGGGGAGGGGGAACGTGGACTGGGTAGACTACCAGGATGGATAGGGATGACAGACCAGGGGAGTGTCACTGGCTGCTGGATGGATGGGGGTCAGAATGCTGCTTGCAGAAATCCAAAACGGCCACCTGTGCCAGGCCAGGTGACAATTCACCACTCTATAGGTCTCCTTGTTCACTGCTCATTCAGTTTCTTTTTCTAAATGGTATTTGATCTACTTCTTCATCCTTTCCTCAGGGTTCCCAGATTATCATCTGTATCTGTTTCACTTGGTTTCTTGGCTCTTTGTTGCAGAGGGTCTGGGTAGCATATCTGCCTAATCTGCCATCTTGCCTTTGACTCCTGCTTTGAAATACTTTTGATAAGAATTTTAGCATGCCTTGCTCCCATGAACACAGCCTGGTACTAATTTTGAAATTAAGCTTCAGTGTTTTGTCATCCTGTGCTATTGATAGAGGGTGATTGGTCTAACCTAGGGATCTGTGGTTTTCCTAGATGTTACCCTCAAAAGTTCAAAAGTGACTCTGCATTTTAGTAAGAAGTAAATGATCTCTTTATAGGTTTTCTTTTGTTTTAAATTGTGAAATAATACACTAACATAAAATCTGTTACTAGTTTTGTATTTGTTCTGTGACTAATACGTTTTTATTATTTGAAGAATATTTCTTTAGGGGCTTACTTTGCCATGTATATATTACTACTGTTATAAGTACTTTTTTCCCCCTTCTTTATCTGAAGGATGGAAGGAAAATCCTGTGGAATTTGATTCTCTTTTTAATGAAAGCAAATACACATGGAGTTGGGGAAGCCCAGATATCTTACCTATGTTTGCAAAAGGTAAGAGTCATTTATTGCATTTCCTCATGTAGTAAATAGTAAATTTATATGCTGATTTTTTTATATCATAGGTAATTACTCTGCCTTACTGATTTTTGAGATACTTATTTTCACCTTTTCTCGTATCTGAAATAGGAAAGTGTATTGTAATGAACGCAACTGCAAAGGTGTGAATGTCAGATTGGGAGTGTTTTATCCTTCTTAGTTGTACTAGAAACATTGGACATCATACAGTTCATAGTATCATGGATTCAGTGAAACAGTATACGGCTCTACCATTATTACCTGTATAATCTCGACAAGTTTGATAACCCCTCTGAGCTTTGATTTTCCTTCTTGTAAAATGTGATGATAATAATTTTATCTCATAGCTTTGTTTTGAGAACTAAATTAGATACTCCATGTAAAACGTTTACATGATAAATTATTTAAGAAGTTAACAGGCATGATGAATTGACTTGTGTCTCCCCAAAAAATGTTTCAGTTGGCTGGGTCATGATTCTCAGTGATTGGCAGTTATGTAGTGATGTTATCATTCCCAAGATATTCCCAAGATGTGATCTGATGTAATCAACCAATCACTTGTAAGGTGATTTAGGGTATGCTGCAACACATTTACTCAAGTCACAGCCCTGATCTGATCTAAAGGGAATTATCCTGGGCTGTGGTCTGCATCACCTTTTATCTTACAAGAGATAAAAGGGAAGAGAGGCAAACAGAGAGAGGGGTACCACCAACAAAGAAGAGTGAGGAGCAGAGCATGCCCTTTGGACCCAGGGTCTCTGCCCTGGGAACCTCCTAGACCCAGGGGAAGACTGATGATAAGATACACAGAGATCTCCAAGGATGCTGGGCCCACAGGGGTTGAAGGGAGACAAAGACCTTCTTCCAGAGCTGACACAGACAGACAGCCTTCCCCTAGAGTCAGTTTCCTGAATTCAGACTTCTAGCCTCCTAAATTATGGGAGACTATATTTCTGTTTTTTGAAGCCATCCACTTGGGGTATTTCTGTTATTGCAGCACTAGAGAACTAAGCAGATATTCACATAAAGATGTAAAAATTAAAAATTACATTTATAATTCCGATTTTAATATATTGAGGGTTATGTCATTTGGATTTGTTGTTCTTGTTCATGTGTGTGAATCTGGCAAGTATTAGAACATACCTTGATTGTTGTTGTTGTTGTTATGTGCCGTCAAGTTGGACCCGACTTATAGTGACCCCTTCTTGGGTTTCCGAGGCAGTATGTATCACTATGGAAGTAGATTGCCCTATCTTCCTTCTGAAGAGTCATATCTTGATTAGAAAACATATATTCTTATAATAATTGGATTCCATTTCAGTTTTATGACATTAAATGCTTTTTTAGTGGTAGCAGAATGATTGGTCATTTAACTTAATGGAAAGATTTTGTAATGTTTTACTTAACCGTGGATATAGTACTCATAATGATTGGAATCATTGGAAAATATTGACTTATTCATCCAGTTATTATATGTCCTGAAAATAAATACACATTCTAAATTTTATATCTGATGTTCATAGAACATTATCACACTGGTAATGCTGACAGAACCTGAAACTGCTTGCCATTTATATACCCTCTTCTTTGGAAAGCAGTTTGGCTTTGCAGGGGCTGATGGTGATGAGGGCATAAAGTTTCAGTGGCTTGTCTTATCACACTTCCTACGTCTGTCTACAGTTGATGGGACAGGAACAACACGTGAATCAGAGACAGTCCAATTGGAATGTTCCATTTCTTATGGTAACCAGCACACCCACACAGATCTTTACGGGGGATATGGGAAGGAGAATGTCTGAACTGTGGAGGAGCAGATATTAGAGTTGAGCTGATGTTGTAACACATTGTCCTTACTTCACCACATCTCTTCCTTTGAGACCTGCAAGAAATTATCTAACTGAGAAATTCACTAAATTGATTAGATTCTTAACAGTGTCTTCCAAATGTCTAAGGTTAATATATATAATGGTTGACCCACTTCAATCTGTTTAGCAATACGTGGTATTTATTCCTCTAAAAATGTGCAAACCCATTGCTGTCAAGTTGATTCTGCTGACAGTGACCCTACAGGACAGAGTAGAACTTCCCCATGGGGTTTCTGAGGCTGTAATCTTTACAGAAGCAGACTGCTACGTCTTTCTCCTGAGGAGCAGCTGGTATGTTCAAACTGCTGACCTTTTGATTATTGCCAGTCACTTTAACCACTGTGCCACCATGGCTTCTTAGTTCCCTATATTAAGAAAAACTAATATTTTTATGCATATTCTGTAGATAGGAGAAGTGAAATATTTGAAGCTTTTTTCTTGCTTTAAGATGTTTTATAACCCAAATAATTTCTTTGTTTTAGATTGTAATATCCTAAGAAGCACAGATTCCTTGAATAGTTCAATTTGTACAAGGAGATAAACGTTGATGCTTATTTTTGTTTGTCACTTATCAGCAGTGTGACTTTGCCAAGTTAATTAGCTTACATATACTTTATCTGTAAAATCAGAATATGTTATTATGGGGATGCAAAGCAACAGCATATGTTAAAGTGTGTGGCAGGATCCATGGCACATGGTCGATCCACTAGGTGGATGTTTGTTATTCTCCCCATCTTGTGCCTCCCTGTCGTCACAGAGAGGACTTTGTGGAAAGGTACGATTACTCACAACACTCTTTAAATGACTATCTCATATTTTATCAAAGTTTAAAAATTATTTTTTGAATTTATTTTCTCCAAATATTCAGGTGCTAGCGGAGACCATGTTTATACACATAGTTATGGTGCTGAACGAGAGGATTTTGGTGCCCATGATGCAACAAAACTAGATACTTGGGTTTTTGATAATGTTAAGGTGAGTGTTTTTAATGCGGTTATTACATAACACACACATTTGTACCCAACGTATCAGAAACCAATGTATTAGTAAATGTATCTTAGATATTTTTCTTCTTACATCAACTAATTATTACATCAACTAATAATTAATAGTTCTGTATTGCAGTAGGCTATTTTAAAAATAGTGAATTCTAAGAAATTATGCGTTCCATAATAACCAATTACAGAAATCAAAGAAGTCATTTTTAAAAGATCCTATTTTAAATACCTGTTAACCACAATAGAAAGAACCCTACACTGGGAGTTAGGAAACCTCCATTCTGCTCTTTGTTTGGTCACTGCGGGTAAACCTTCTTGATCTTGAATTTATTCGTAGAGCAAGCCTTTTGTAGTAGTGGGGGCATCTGAGATGTCTGAAAGCCCTTTGAAAAGTACTGTTCAAATGTAATGCATATACAACAATATAAAGTAGGCAATTTTTAAAAACTATTTTTATCCTGAATAAAAGATTAGACAAGCGAAGAAAAGTTAGCTGAATTGTGCTTGTAGAAATTTTTGAGATGGTGTTTGTTTTGTTATGTATATTTACACAAGTTAGCAAATTAGTCATTGTCTTAGTTGTTCAGTGCTGGTATAACAGAAATACAAGTGGATGCCTTCAACAAGCACACATTTATGATATTCCACCTTTTGGCCACTCAAAATTCATGTCCTTGCCACATGCAAAACACATTCACTCTATTACATCATCTCAAACGTTTTAAATTGACTCCAAGTCCAGATTCCATCCTGGGCAAAATATATCTTCATCTGTGGATTTAGAAAACAAGATATCTGCTTCCAAAATACAATGGTGGGATAGGCACAAAGTGACATTTCCATTACAAATGGACAAATTGGTGGGAAATAAGGGCACCAAGCAAGTCCAGAGCCCAGCAGAACAGTTTATGTTAGCTCTCAAGGCTTGAAAATGATCCTCCACTCTCTGAGACCATCTTGGCAATGGCCCTGCCCTCCAGACTGGGCGTTGGCAGTGGTCTTTGAATTCTGGGTGGAGGCCTGTTTTGGTTACCTCCTGCCACTCTTACAGAAAAATTACAAATGGGTGGCTTTAACAAACAGGAGTTTATTCTCTCACAGTTTTGGAGGCTACAAGCCCAAGTTGAAAGTGCCAGGCTTTAGGGGCTGGGTGAAAGCCTTTCAACCTTGGGCTCCAGCTCTGCCTCTTGCTTCTGGCCCACTGAGGCTGGAGGCTTTCTTCACTTAGGCAGCTGCTGGCTGCTGAGGCTGACAAACTCTGTTGTAATATAAAAGATCGTGCAGGCCACACCCCACGGAAGCTCCTCTTAGATTGGATCACGTCTGTGACCTGAACATGTTGCAGTCCTACCTAATCCCCTTACAACTGATTGGCTGTTCACATCAGATTACATCATTGGGGATGATTACATTATTCCTTTACTGCTAAATTATATCATTACATAACTGCCAAACCACTGAAAATAATGGACCAGCCAAGTTGACACATTATTATTTAAGGCTGGACCATGGATAGGTGGGTGCATGGCTCAGGGCTTCTAAGGTAGCTTTATTTAAGGCCTAGCCCTGGATAGGCAGGCACGTGGCTTGGAAGTGAGCAGAGCAGTTCTGAACAAGTAAGGGAGACGAACTTGTCTGTCAGTTTGTTGTCCTCTGGTGGCTTGTGCTGCTGTGAGGATAGAGGCTATGCTACCAGTATTGCAAAAGGCCAGCAGGGTTACCCATGGTGGACAGGTTTCAACGGAGCTTCCAGACTAAGACAAGACTCAGAAGAAGGAAGAGGCCATCCACTTCTCAAAGACTTGGCCAGTGAAAACCTTATGAAGAGCAGTGAAACGCTATCTGATATATTAGTGGAAAATTTTATAAATAGCTCTGAAACACTGTCCGTTATAGTGCCAGAAGATGAGGCCATCAGGTTGGAAGGTGCTCAAAATATCACTGGGAAAGAGCTGACTCCTCAGAGTAGTAGAGACAGCCTTAATGATATGGATGGAATAAAGCTTTCGGGACCTCCACTGGCTGATGTGGCATGACTCAAAATAAGTAGAAACAGCTACAAACATCCATTAATAATCGGAACATGGAATGTATGAAGTAAGAATCTAGGAAAACTGGAAATTGTCAAAAATTAATGGAATACATAAAGATTGATATCCTAGGCATTAGTGAGCTGAAATGGACTGGTTTTGGCCATTTTGAATCAGACAACCATATGATCTACTATGCTGGGAATGACAAATTGAAGAGGAATGGTGTGCATTCATCATCACTGCTAAAGGGGCAGGGAGGTCGCATCTTCTGACCTCCTCTAATTCCACAAGAGGAAAACAGAATCACCATCAGTAGCCCAAGGCCTGTTCCTGCAGGGGCAGACATGCTGCCTCCCTCCAGCCCTTTCAAAAATCCTGACACCAGCAGTTCCTCCCACAGCACTCATCACCTCTCTGCTAGGTTTGATCGTTCGCTACAGTGGCCTCACAGAACTCACAGATTATAGGGATTATTCGGGAAGCACCAAGCTACAATTCAAGTTCTGGAACAACACTCAGTTTCTCTTAGCCCACCATCTCTTAGCCAACAGTCTCTCTTCCAGCAGTGCTTGTCTCTCAGTGTCTCTCTCAGCAGTGCGTGTCTCTCGGTGTGTCTCTTTCTCAGCAGTGCATGTCTCTCAGCAGCACGTGTCTCTCAGGAGCGTGTTTCTCTCAGAAGCATGTTTCTTTCAGCAGTATGTCTTTTCAGCCAGCAATCAGAGAGACGACTTCTGCCTCTAGAAGGGCTTCTTTTGAGCCTAGCAGAGTAGCCATTAACCCAATATCAGAATTCTGTACACCTGAGAGAGAGCAAAGTTCCCAGAAAATTACGTTGTGCTTCTCCCAGCAGAAATACTCCAGGTAGATTACTTTAACAATCAGGAGCTATTCAGTTGCTCACAGCAAATTCCACCACGAAGTTTACAAAGACTTATGGCTAGAAAAGCCACACTATGTAATTTACTACATTGCAATCACAAAGACTGTTTCAAGATCTATCATGAAGTACAATGCTGTCAGTGATAGGATGATATCCATATGCCTGCAAGGAAGACTAGTTAATACTACTACTATTCAAATCTATGCACCAACCACCAAAGACAAAGAGGAGAAAATTGAAGATTTCTACCAACTTCTGCAGTCTGAAGTTGACTGAATATGTGATCAAGATGTGTTGATTATCACTGGTGACTGGAATGCAAAAGTTGGAAACAAAGAAGTGTCACCAGTGGTTGGAAAATTTGGCCTTGATGATAGAAATGATGCTGGAGATCGCATGATAGAATTTTGCAAGATTATTGACTTACTCATTGCAAATACTTTTTTCAGCAACATAAATGACAGCTATACACATGGACTTCACTAGATAGAACACACAGGAATCAGATTGACTACATCTGTGGCAAGAGGTGATGGAGAAGTTCAGTATCTTCAGCCAAAACAAGGCCAGGAGTTCACTGTGGAACAAAGTCAACTGCTCCTATGCACGTTTAAGTTGAAGTTGAAGACAATTAAAACAAGTTCACAAGAGCCAAAATATGACCTTGATAATATCCCTCCTGAATTTAGAGACCATCTAAAGAATAGATTTGATGCATTGAACACCAATGACCAAAAACCCGAGGAATTGTGGAATGACATCAAGAACATCATCCATGAAGAATGCAAGAGGTCATTAAAAAGACAAGAAAGGAAGAACAGACCAAAATGGGTATCAGAAGAGACTCAGAAACTTGCCCTTGAATGGAGAGTAGCTAAAGCAAATGGAAGAAATGACAAGATAAAAGAGCTGAACAGAAGATTTCAAAGAGCAGTTCAACAAGACGAAATCAGTTATTATAATGAATGTGCAAAGACCCGAAGTTAGAAAACCAAAAGGGAAGAACACGCTTGGCATTGCTTAAGCTGAAAGAACTGAAGAAAATATTGAAGCCTTGAGTTGCAATCTTGAAAGAGTCTATGGGCAAATCTTGAATGATGCAGGATGCATCAAAAGAAGATGGAAGGAATACAGAGTCACTGCACCAAAAAGAATTGGTTCATACCCTCTCACTGATCTGCCTGGAGAAAATGGCCTTCTTAATATGCCTATCTGGCACCTGTCTATCAGTTTCTCATATTGTGGTGGTCTGTGTGTGTCAGTGCTTCTGGAAGCTACACCACCAGTATTTCAAATACCAGCAGGATCACCCATGAAGGACAGGTCAGCAGAACTTTCAGACTTTTTAAAAAAGACTCAGAAGAAAGGCCTGGTCATCTAATTCTAAAATTTAGCCAGTGAAAAACTCTATGGATCACAATAGAATATAGTCCAATATAGTTCTGGAAGATGAACTTCCTAGGATAGAAGACACTCAAAGCACACAGTGACTGTAACAAAGGACTTGAGCATAAGAATGAAGATAGCTCAGGACAGGACAATATTTCTTTCTGTTATACATAAGGTCATCATGAGTCACATGGCCAACAATAAATCCATGGTTGAAGGATATTGTGGAGATTACACTTGTATGCTTCATTCAGTCTTAAACAAGATGCCTGTCAGTGAGTCTTTTTCCATGTTGGAGGTCCACAAAGACCTCCTTCCTGCCTTCTACTTGTTCCCCTGCCTCTGTTGCTCTTATATTATTTTAACTCAACATATCATGTTCCAAACCCTGTAAGTACATCATGTCATTTAATTTCATCTTTACCACACCCCTATAAGGTAGATATTATTATGTCCAGTTGAGGACACTGAAGCTCAGAGAGGTTGTGTAACTTGTCTAAACTAATCCATCCAGAAAGTAGAGAGTCATAATTTATTTTCAGTCTCCTTACAGCATACTGTGCTGTCTCCTTTCATCGTCCATCTAGAAGGCCACCCCAAGGGTACATCCTCCTCTACTAGGGGAACCTGATGTCTTGAGCACTCCCAGCCCTGTTAGGGATATGAATTGGTTTA